GACTCGATTATCTGTCTCTATATCTATCTATCTGCCATTATATCTCTGCTTTATTTGCCGGGCTTATATACTAAAAAAGAGGGCGCGTAGAACAGACTAGAGTTGCCAGGAAAAGTCAAGATCCTTCGAGGATCTCATGACGTGTTACCAGAGTCACGTGACTTCCGCTGTCGTAACACTTCCCCTTCCTCAGTATTGTTGGGGCCCGGCATGGCCAGGTGGTTAGGGCGCTCGACTCGCAGTCTGCGGGTCGCGAGTTCGAATACCCGTCACTCGCTCTTTCAACCGTGGAGGCGTTACAATTTACGGTCAATCCCACTATTCGTTGGTGTAGGAGTAGCCCAAGAGTTGGTGGTGGGTGTTGATGACTAGCTGCCTTCCCTCTAGTCTTACACTGCAAAATTAGGGACGGCTAGCGCAGATAGTCCTCGTGTAGCTTTGCGCGAAATTAAGAAAAAAACAGTATTGTTTGGTCTTTGGTCTTCCTGGGTTTATACAACCACACCTTGACTCCTGGTACAAAGCTGACTTCAGTAGATCTCTTATCATAACATAGCTTCATGGAATCAGCAGACGTTTTCAAGTTTGAACGCACTTGATGGTGAATATCATCCATCCTTTCAGATAACATTTTCACGAACTCTGACACATTTGCAGGCAACTCTTCGTAAGGTGGGCGTCATGTTAACAGATCCACTGCCAACCGAAGTTCCCGACCAAACATAAACTTTGTTGGAGTGTATCCAGTGGCTTTATGCTCTGCTGTTCTATAGGCCATCAATAGTGGAGGGAGTAAGACATCCCAGTCATCTCGGCGGCTATTACAAAACTTTGCCAATTCCTGTCCCAATGTCCAGTTGTACTTTTCAACCATCCCATCGGACTGTGGGTGAAGTGGCATTGTCCTGGTCTTTCGGATGCCAAACAACTTGCAGCATTCATGGAACAAGCTGATTCACCCCTATTGCCAACACTCATGCCTGGAATGTGACTCTGGCAGGACTGAAAATGTCTGCATTAGGGTTTAGTTGCGGGGTCTGGAAGGAGCTTCCTATTGTCTGGGGCTTATTAGACCCATGGCTAATATATCCTCCTTGTGTAAAAGTCAGTAAATCATCCTTTAATGTATTTAATTCACTTTGAAATTTACTAATCTTTTCCATTTGTGTATGCTGGCTTTCTCTCAACTGTTGAAGACTTTCTTCCTGTTTCTTTTCTTTTTCCAGTTGCCACCGGTTTTCTTGCCACTGCTGTAGTCTCTCTTCTTGTTTATTTTCTTGTTCTTCTTGTTTCCTTTCTTTTTCCTCCAACAACTGCTGTAACCTCTTTTGTTTATTTTGCTGTTCGAGCTGCCACTGTTGCAGGTTTTCTTTCCACTGATGATGTCTCTCTTCTTGTTTGTTTTCTCGTTCTTCTTGTTGCTTTTCTTTTTCTAGTTTGTTACATATCTGCTTGTTTGATAATTTCCGTAAAAATTATTTCCGAGAAACTTCAACGACACAAGTCCTTTCTTGTTGTCTCTCTTCTTTTTTCTTTTCTTTTTCCTTCAACAACTGTCGTAATCTCTTTCTTGTTTCTTTTGTCATTCTTCTTGTTTCTTTTGTCATTCTTCTTGTTTCTTTTCTCGTTCTTCTTGTTTTTTTTTTTTGCTGTTCTTGTATTGCTGCCATCAAATCTGCTAAGTCGTAGTTTGATTTGG